CTTAAAGACTTGGATGTGAACTTCCTTAAATGATCAAGAATAAATATTGAGCGGATTCGTCGAAGCACCGAGATAAAAATATTAGAACACAAACAATGTGTGTGGATAACACAATCCACGTTCAGCTTCAATGATGACTTTGCAAAATACAAATGTAAACGTTTCGCCAAATGCCTTCATCGGTACAAACAAAGAACAACCAACTATTGAAATAAGTGTTAATCAAATTTATATTAATATATATTTACATGTATGGTACATAAACTATTGAAAAGAATAATAGTGGGCGCAAATCCAGACCAAGTTTAGCAACGGTAAAAAGTATGGCAGAAAAGTATGACTGTAAAACTAGTAAAGAAAATCAGTGTAAGACAACAAAATAAGGGAGTTTAAAAAACAAAATAACTATCTTTCTAGACATCACTTTTCACACCAAAGGAGCTGCCAAATGTGCCCACTGCTGAGACAGGCGAGAATAAAGAATGACAACAAATCCAAGATTATTAACGCTGTCTTTATTCCAATCTTCGTTGCAAGTGTCCGGCATCGGCGCTTAAGAAGACTCTCCAGAAAAGACACTGCTCTTTCGAAATGAGATTTTAAGACAGAACGCCTGTTGATCATCTTGTATCGTAACCCTAAAGCAGCAAGCACTCAAGTTTCAGGGAAAGATAATGATCACAACGGGTTATGGATCGCGTGTGTCAAGGAGTTTATCATTGTCTGATTTATGAAAGTTCATAATTCCACACAAATTGCCAAAGATCGCCGACTGTACCTCCTTCAGTAGTGGAGGAAGAGGGGTGTGGGCTGGTCAGCATGCCCCGGGGGTGTGGGCTGGTCAGCATGCCCCGGGGGTGTGGGCTGGTCAGCATGCCCCGGGGGTGTGGGCTGGTCAGTATGCCCCGGGGGTTTGGGCTGGTCAGCATGCCCCGGGTGTGTGGGCTGGTCAGTAGGCCCTGGGGGTGTGGGCTGGTCAGCATGCCCCGGGGCTACACATTTTTCTTCAAAGATGCGGGGGTGGTATTTTCAATCAACTTAAGTTTGTTTTTTTTGTTTGTTTTTTTTCTGTGGAAAAGAGGCTGACGAAATTCGTGCCCCATCCCGGGCAGCACTAACCGTAGCTGAATTTGCCACCCCCCTCACCTACGCCGATAAATAATAACAAGACAACCTGTCAAATAAGTGCCTGTACGCAGTGGCGTAGCTAGGATCGGTGTCACCCGGTGCGGTTAACTCGTGGTGTCACCCTCCCCCCCCCCAGAGCTTCTTTCAGCTATATCTCTGGGGGGGCGGCTGCCCCTCCCGCGAAATCCAAGTGCCCCCTGGAGCAAAAATATGTCCAACAATAAATCAACTGGCACTGCTGGCACTGCCCCCCCCCCCCTTCCGAAAAATCTGAAGTTCCCCTCGTGGAAAATTCCTGAACTAATCACTGCTCCCACCCCGACTTGAAAGATGGATTTGTTTATAGTTGAAATAAGTCAACAGTATAACAATATTCCGAAAAATCTGAAGTTCCCCTCGTGGAAAATTCCTGAACTAATCACTGCTCCCACCCCGACTTGAAAGATGGATTTGTTTATAGTTGAAATAAGTCAACAGTATAACAATTACTAGAACAAAAAACAAATTAATGAAAGTTCAGGAGATATATGTATTTAAGAACTGTATTTAAAAATGTATAGAAGCCAGAATGATCAATAGATTAATCGAAGCTCCTCAAAATATTGAAGAATAAGAAGAATAAACGTTAAGTTATAGTTATTTTAACATTACTTTTACTTTGGAATTCGATATCAGCTGCCTTTAGTGTCTTCTAAGCCTAGTATTTCTTTTTAAAAGTTCATATTATGATAACTTATTGTAGAAAGAGGTTAACGGATACCAATAACTCTACGTCACTTGTTGATAGTGGACTCTTGAGTTGAATAGCCCCAAACATATCTGCTAATTCCTTGATCACTGATCTGGAGTTCATATTGAGCGCATGCACACACGCATCTCTTTTCACTTTACCTCTCGTAAGAGAGAGTCCAGCATCTATAAATTGTTCTCCTTTTATTCTTTTCTTAAAACCTTTGTGTTCTCTCTAACGAAATGTCAAATTGGTCTGATTTTAAAAGTACCTGTACATTTTCAGTAGTTTTTTCCACAAAGCGGTCCTCACCCCCTCAACCCCCCTGGCTACACCTCTGCTTAACACTGACCCCAATAAAATTGCTACCGACCGCAAGAACCTTGCCACGGAATTGCAAAATTTTTTGGAGTGAAAATATAAGTACAACTAACTGAATGTTAGAGATGCGAAGCTTAAATTTAATGTGCCGTGATAAAAAACAATTAGTTAACAAAGAGGATGAAAGAATGTTAAAAGTTTTGTTGCAGACAGTTACAATCAAGAAATGTTAAGGCTTGAGATTTGTGTGTGTTTAAAGTAAGCTCTTATAAGTTCATCCATTTTTTTAGTTTTTTTTTTTTTTTTGGAGTGGGAGGGGAGTTGAAAAGGAAATTTAATATTGCTTTGAATCATTTCTACAATTAAAGAAGTTTGATTTATCATTATTTTCACAGTTTCAATAAAGAACATTTTTAGCTTATAATAATAATTAATTGAATACTTGGGCTGCACATTAAAAGTTACATATTCTAAGATACAGGCATATTTATTGTATCCGATTTAAAGGAAAATAAGATGTATATGACAGGAAGTATACGGTAAGGAAGTATCAAGAACGGAAACATAAACATTAAGTATGAGAAAAATACGTTTAAAAAAAAAGACTTGTAAGGAAATAACACGAGGAGAGATTTTTGTTAAAATGATTATTTGGCTGATTCAACCAACCCTGTTTAGGAAGCAACAGTAGAATTGGCTTTAATCGTGTGAGACCCTCTCTCTCTCGAAACTACAAAATAAATACTTCCTTGTATAAAAATAGATACTCCCTGTTATAAAGAGTAATGACGCACTTAAGAATTTTTTATCCCCTCTAATCGGCGTCATCGTAAGTCTGCACTGGTCTCACTTTGACGGGACAACTTGTGGGGCTTACGTAACACCGATTAAAAGGTCCTCAAATTATGACTGTTCCACTCAAAAAGTAAAATAGCATTATGAAAATATGTTACACGTTCTTATAAATTTAATATATTCATATAATATTACTTTTTAATGCTTTTTTTTTTTTTTTTTTTTTTTTTTTTTTTATTTTTTTTTTGTACTGATGAACTCATTTGTCAAGAATTCTACATTTGTGTTCTATAAAATTACCATTGAAGCTGTACATTTATTTATTTTTTATTTACATACATTTTTTTGTGTGTTTAATTAATCTACTTTAACAATTGAGTTCGTTTGGATTGAAAGCTTTTTTAACTCATCTTGGATCTCATCAGCGTTTTCCTAACCCATTGATTTCAGCTTGAACTTGTGACCATATAATAAATTATTAACCTCCTTTGCGTTTATAAAACGCAGTGTTTTTTTTTTTTAATTTTAAATGTAATTTTTAGTTTACCATCCTTTAGTCCACTTGTTTTCTCATTCCATTGTAATCACGGGTTTTGTAAGCAGTTTTTGTGAATGTTTCAGGCAAGTTTCACCACTGAAGTGATGCAAGTGGTGGACGGTAACTGGGATATTGATTAGTAAAACTTACACTGGTACTTTTAAAGCTACGTGTCGATTCTTACAACTAAATGGATTTATCACTGATAACACGTCTGTAAGTAATAATCTACAAATTGGATGGGCCAGTGGTCGGCAAATTGCGGCTCGTGAGCCGTAAGCGGCTATTTAGCGACCTGAGTGTGGCTCGGCCAGTCGGCCACAAATCAGTTTTGATTCCGGAAAAGAACATGGTTCTTGACAGGTTCTTAAAAAAGAAATTTGGCTCTCAAACATTTTTTGAAATGGCAATGCTGCTGATTTTTTGGCTCTTTTGAATAATGAGTTTGCCAACAACAGGGAGAGACAGAATTTTTTTAAAACTGATGTAGAGATTGGACGTAGGATGACAGATTTAATTAAGGCCGTATTTACTAATACATGCACATTTTCCCGTAAACATTCTGGAAGCCCATGCTCCCCTTGCACTCATCCAGGGAGATCATCGCACGGTTACCACAGACTTGTATTGTATTCCAGCTTCTTTTGACAGCTGACAAGTTTTTTTATTAACTATTTGTAATAATTTAGAAATAGTTCATAAAAACATATTAAATATCTCCACCCACGACTTAGATACCGGGGGATTTAAAACTTGTGGAAATCGAAATAATGCGAAAAAAAATATATAAAAAAAGAGACAAATTTAAACATTGCAGACATCGGAAAGGAAAGAAATCCTACAACAGCGTCTAGAAAAAAAGACTTTTCTCTTGTCTTGACTTGTCTAAGCGGGTAACTAAAGCAATGACGAATGCTATAAAAGAATCATCCAATGTTACAGCTCTCAACACAACCCACGGCCGTGGCAGACCATCCAGGGAAGTTCTTCATCTCCAGGTCAGTCTCTTCAACTGAGTTTGAGCTACTTGCCAGTGTTGATAGAAACGCGTGGACTAACCACACATCAGATAACATTTTATTATTTAAACTTTATTTAAAATCATGGCACACAGAAGTAATGTTTTTGTTTGTAGTTGATTTTTTTTTTTTTTGTTCTTTTTTTCTTTCATGTGAACAATGTTGTTTTCAGAAATGCTAATCAAAAACATGATTATCTTTGAAAGTATATTTTACGATTCTATGTTTGACTCATATATTCTTTATGTTCAAACATTTTTGTTCCGGTTAAATCTCATCGTTAGCATAGACATAAACACATACAAATAGTTTATGTAAATTTGAAACAATAGAGAGATTGACATGCAAAAAAAATTACACACAAAGATGAAAAAAAAAAAATAGAATCTTTTCTACACGTGATGACGTTCTCTTGTGTTCCATTCACCTCTTTTTCAAAATGTTTGAACTCTCCAAGCTAAAATCCAAAATGGCCGGCGTGCGCCTCGTTTTCACCAAGGCCTTCATGGTCACAGTGCTTCTCACCCTGTTGCTGAACATTGGCGTGAAACCTGCAGAGGGTCAATTTTCAGCTTGCAGTTTCTCAAGCAGACCACACCCCCGTGGGATTTGTGGCTCGGATCTGGCCGACCTCCGGGCGTTCATATGTTCGAGGCGCAACCAACCGGCAATGGTCAAGAGGGACGCAGAAACAGGCTGGTTACTGCCTGAAACCATGGTCAAGAGGAATGCACAAACAGGTGGGTTATTGGCATGCAGCCCATATGTCAACGTAACTGTCTCAGTTGAACACAAACACGGGACACTTCAAATCCATCAACTCCCTTATTTAAACACACACATGTGATTGTTCCAGGTGGGAAAAGAAATGATTACCTTCAAACATATGTTCGGGAAGCATTTAAAAAAAAATAATAATGATGTCCCATGTTTTGAGATCGATACGACGACGGGAAGTGGGTCAGTTAAACGTCCGAAGATTTTGCCTTTAGCAAACACATGAGCAGAAGCTAAGTTCATATTAATGATTTTAAAAGGTCTTGAAAATACACAATTATGCAACCCTTTTATTTTAAAAAATGTGTTTTTCTTATACATCCTTTATATGCATTTTAAAATATTTTATCAATTGTATATTAATATTATCATGTCCCGCCAGCGTTTACACCCAGATTTATTTCACCAACTTTTTCAGAAAGCCAAAAAGCGCCTGCGATATTTTTAAGAATCTGATTTAGCTCAGTTATCGGAAATTTTATTTCTTGAAAAAAGTCGCATCATATTTCCTTCATCTTCTCTTAGAAAATCATGAGGGGAAAAAAACCTGATTCTTTGTATTATCTTTTTGAAGGGCGGGGGGGGGGGGGGTGGGATAGTGCTGAAATTTTGAAAGAGTGT